TGAAATATCGCGATATTTCAGTGTATCAATATTTTATTACACCCCTAGTAATTTACTATCCAAAGAGTTAAAAAAATGCTAAATAAAAACAACTACAATTTATTAGTTAAGCCAGAAATGTGTTGTAAATGTTTCAGAACTCCTGTTTCCTGCCTGCACCATGATGAGTTACTGCAGTGAAAGTTGAACTGTAATTAAACAATCACCACTTCACCAAACAGGTTAACTCCAAACTACTCTAAAATGATGACTACATGAACTGTGTTTAATTGCCAGAACCCTACAAACGCAATCAAAAACATCTTAAAATTTCTTTAGAAAAACTGTGAATAAGTATCAGTCATGGGCTGGATTTACTTGTAAAAAAAAAAAAAAAAGCACCTGTCATCTCACACATAAACTGATCTAGACTTTGTGCGCCAGAGGGAACATGATTAAGTCATAAATCAGAAAATAAAAAGGTTCAAGGTCCYATTTATGGATCATTATCAAATACATAGGAGAATAAAGAGGTGCCTAAAACCTGTGTCATAATCTGACCACAAAGTYGGTTTCTTTAATTGCAACAAATGCAAAAATATTAATAATTGTAAAAAAAGAAAAAGCTTTAAATTTTATACTTAGTGCCATAAATATAATACAGCTGATTCAACTCAGACCAGACTGAGTGAGAGACAGACTGAGGAGCAGAAGTTCAAGTAACTTCTGGATTAATAAATCATTTACTAATGAGTTTTTGCATGTTGCTGAATCAATGTTTTTGATTTGCAAATGAAAAGGGTAGTTGGGAAACACACATCAAACTAGTAAGTTATATACTAACAAAAAAAAGTATAGTTCCACCAGATATTTAACAACCACCGCTTCACCTAGAGAGAAATTACTGAGCAGGCCTCGTGAGAAGACTGAAGGCTTCATCTTTTTCTCCTGATAAACTTGYCCTCTGACAACTAAAATAATAATGAAAAGTTATGGCACGTTCAGTTTATGTAAATAAGTTTGTAACTGAACTTGCAGTTGCATCTTGTGGAYATTTATTTAATGCAGGTGACTATTTTTTTTATCAAATGCCTGAAAACACAAACTGTACCACACGGCAAAGTTCAGTTTAACTGGCAGCTCATAATATTCTGTTGTTTGTCTGATTAATGTTTCACAACGTGTATTTTATCCAATACTGGCCTGAAAATCTCAGCTTAATAATTCTGCAAGTGTTACTAAAAGAATAGGGAAGCAGTAATATACTCTCAGATATTAAAAATATGATTGATTTTACACTTTAATTAAAAACGAGCGTAGTTTTTATCAATCTAAAGATAAATAAGTGATGATACATTTTGTGATGGAACAAAAAGCTGCATTGCAATAACACTGAGGTTGCCAAAAATATTTTCAAATCAACTTTGCAGCCACAATGTAAATGTTCTCCATCCTTAGATTATGGATTATTATTATTGTCTTAAATAGTTCAGTCAGTGGGCACTATGAAGGCTCATCAGATTAKTTTTTTTGGTCCTCTTACAAAGGAAAAAAAACAGCAGAGAAAAGTAGAAAGTAGAAGATGAATCATCATCTTTTTTAGAAACAAACTAACATTTTTGAATTTCACCTCCAAGTAAAATACTTAGCTGAAAAGAACATACAACAATGTTGCACTAAACTATTAATGTCAACACAATAACTACACAGAGAACAGTAAGAAAGCCATGTTAAGGGCTGTATTTAGCCTAAGGAAAAACAGTCCTCTCTTTTGATACATGTACGAACAAGCCAATTGAAACTAATGATATTTACGCTGAAGACATGTACGTTAATATGAACGTAATGCCAACTTTCAAGTGTCAAATCTTTTCAAAACCAAAATAATGAACAAATAACAAAATTAAAACCAAAACGTCAGAATTTCTAATGGTCTGAATCTTGTACAGCCTTTCAGGACCAAATTGTAGTTTGGGAATAGGGCTGCCACGATTAATCAATGACTAATTTAATAAGCAATTAATCTTTTTTTTTTGTTGTTCTTTACTTTGTTTTTCTCTCCAAACTGCTTTGACACCTTCCACTGCCACATCTGCCTTTCTGTCGTTGACACACATGCACAGTAGTGGTAACTGGGGTAGGCCGTGGACGTCACAAGACATTATACAGACAGGCTCTGGTATCATGGCTACCCAGCAACAGAGCTCAAAGTGTGGGATCATTTTAAGAAAACGAAAGAGAAACCTGTGTAATATCTGCAGAGCAGAACTTACCTTCCACAGCAATTATTTTTAGTTAGCATATAGCTAAAATCTAACCATGGTTATATAATARCAGCTGCATTCTGACGTGATAARCTGTATGTTTTATATTCAATTAACGWATGATCYGATTAGTCGACTAATCGAATAAATAATCKGTGATWAWTAAAATAATCGTTTGTGGCAGCCYTATTTGGGAACTGTAGTAATTGTTAAACTTGTTGCATGCCAGTAAACTGGAAAAATTATCAGTTACWCATCTCTTATTTGAATACRTGTATTGCTTTTAWGAAAAAYGTKTTTTTCCAATAAAAAGGAAGGAAAGACTCATCACTACTGCCCTGATTCAAGGGTCAGACATCTTGCTGTCCTATAATGACACAGGCCTGCATATGGTAACAGCAGGCAACATGAGCTGCTGCAAAACCAAAATATTCAGCTTCAGTRAGTGAATCTGCAGCTCCATCCATCCTCATTGTTTTAAACTCGTTCTTCATGGTCTCCACCCTGATTTGCAATAGTGTGCTTAAAAACAACATACATCAGCTCAAGGCATAATTAATATTTTTTAAAACCAGTTCAAAATCTGTTTTGGACATCGTATGTCTGCGCTTGTAGGGACACAAGGGCAAAGTTGCAGCAACGCCTGAGCAACGCCCTTCCCAGCTAATGTTAGCTTAGCACAGCAACGCAGCCATGAATTCATTACCAAACAGCAACAAACAAAAGGAGCTTCGACCTCTGACAACTGTGGCAACTCATTAATACAGCATCTCTTAATATCAACACACAGGTTCAGGTTTTACCTGTCATCAAGGGAAAACATGTCGTTTGATTAGCGCTGGCGGTGTGAGAAAAACACAATCAAGGACAAGAGTTTTTACTAAAACACTACAAGCAACATGGTTTGCATCAAAAGCAGGGTCAACCCGACAATTTTACAWTTATTTTACGTTTAACTAACAGCACTTGGTTAGCTCTTTCACTCTGAACTTCCATAAAAAGGCGTAGCTCAGATTCACAACAAGTGTCTCTTATGCGACTCCATTTAATCGAGAATCACTCGTTTCGTTTTGAAAACACAGTTTCATTCATTACATTTGAATAATACAACCGTGTGCTTTTTGTAGCGTTCAGGCCCAGCGACAGTGCTTTGCAACAATGACAACTTTTACCTCCTAGCTTAGCTTAGCAGAGCTTTTTAGGCCGCTCCGCCATTTTGAGCTCGGGACGGGAAAGCGCAGACACTCCAGCCGAAAACGTCGTCAAAAATAACAAGTCTTTCYGAGTTCCACAACAAAACGGAAGCRCGCTCGGAGGCCTCTAACTTACCATTATATACATGATGAAACATATATTCCCGTGACAGGCCAAGGCGCACAACTGGGAAGCTTCAGTTCGGATGACTTCTCACATCACCCGGCACAGACAGGCAGATTTTCTCCGCTCGTTCCACCGCATTCGCCCCGGCTCCAGCTAGCGGTCACGTTTGAACGTCGGCGGCGCGCACGTCAGGTGGGCGGTGGCGCGCAACGTCGACGCCTCACGCTCATGTTTTAAAAGAAAACAGGAAAAGGAAAATACGTCAAAAAATATATATATGGGTTGTTTTTGTATTTGTTTAGTTTGTTTTTAAGCTCCGGAACTCAAAAAAAAAAGTAGTAATGTGATAAACTGGAAACATTTGTTTTCACAATTTCCACAGAGAACAGGTGTTATTGGCTGTATTTGGATGCAGTGGGTCGCAAGAGTATTGCACCCCCTTCATATAAATGCTTTGTTGTTGTTGGCTTTTAACCTGAAATTAAATTATTTTTTAAGTTTCATGAATGCTGAAACTAATGTCATTAAATGTGGGGATGMTGGCAACATGAGTGACAACGAGGACTTTTTAAACTATTTTAACTATTAAAATATTCATAAAATGTTTTCAATATTTAGTTAATATTATTTTCAWATTCTCCATCAAAAAGCTTCAAAAGGATACATTTTGTTGAAATTTGTCGATTTATCACCCAGCCTGGCAACAAACTTGAGTTTACAAGAAAACAATTTTTATTGGTCTGAAGTGATGTCATCGGGAATTCCAGACATATTTTTTAAAAAGGAAATGTCTATACAAGACATTAGGCATTTTGCATTGCTTTAAGCTTTAAAGGTGTGATGTAATGCAATTTTATTTAGCTTTATGTCATGTCATTCCCTCATCAAAAACACGCCCAGAGTGTTGCTTTGACTCATTCATGCATGTTTGAGAAAACCCTTGAATTTATGAAGCTGCCTAAATGCTTGCTGGTGCGAAGCACCGCCTATTTGTACCTAGCTCCTCCCTGAAACTCAGTCTGTATAGCTCCCACCCCACGGAGCACCACTCTCCTGAAGCGTTTGAAAATGTGTTGAAGTGTCGGAAACAGTAGGCTCTTAAAAAGACAGAGGTCTATTTCAAGGCTTTTAGATAGGCTTTGAAGCAAAATCAGATTTATTTTTTATATGTACAGCTTTTCAGAACAACTGAAGGTAACATAGTTACTTGACTGTGGTATAGAATTTAACTATGTGCCTATAATACTTCTCCTCACTTTAATTCAGAATGTAAACTTTAGATTTTTAGCTCCATTCACTTTGCTGTAAATGATGTCATGGATTATAATGGACAATATCCATCCATCCATCATCCATCCATCCATCCATCCATCCATCCATCCATCCATCCATCATCCATCCATCCATCCATTTTCTTCCGCCTATCCGGGGTCGGGTCGCGGGGGCAGCAGCTTCAGAAGGGAGGCCCAGACCTCCCTCTCCCCAGCCACTTCTTCCAGCTCCTCCGGGGGAACTCCAAGGCGTTCCCAGGCCAGCCGAGAGACATAGTCCCTCCAGCGTGTCCTGGGTCTTCCTCGGGGCCTCCTCCCGGTGGGACGTGCCCGGAATACCTCACTAGGGAGGCGTCCAGGAGGCATCCTTACCAGATGCCCGAGCCACCTCAACTGGCTCCTCTCGACGTGAAGGAGCAGCGGCTCTACTCTGAGTCCCTCCCGGATGACCGAGCTTCTCACCCTATCTCTAAGGGAGAGCCCAGCCACCCTGCGGAGGAAACCCATTTCGGCCGCTTGTATCCGGGACCTCGTTCTTTCGGTCATGACCCAAAGCTCATGACCATAGATGAGGGTAGGAACGTAGATCGACCGGTAAATCGAGAGCTTCGCTTTCTGACTCAGCTCTCTCTTCACCACGACGGACCGGTACAGYGCCCGCTTTACAGCAGACGCTGCGCCAATCCGCCTGTCGATCTCYCGCTCCGTTCTTCCCCCATTCGTGAACAAGACCCCCAGATACTTAAACTCCTCCACTTGAGRCAGGACGACCCCCCTGACCCGGAGAAGGCACTCTACCCTTTTCCGGCTCAAGACCATGGCCTCGGATTTGGAGGCACTGAGCCTCATCCTGGCCGCTTCGCACTCGGCCGCGAATCATGTATATAATGGACAATATCAAATTCAAAAAATTAAAAAGTTCATAATTGTTCTGGTAAATAAAGCACTTATGTCCAGTAACAGGTTGATGGAACATGTGTGTAACCGAGTAAGCAGACAGGGAGACTGCAAGAAAACWGTTATTGTTGAAAAAATGCTCTCAGTTTTCCACACTGTTGCTTTAATATGACTCAGAATACATTGCACAAAATGAGCTTGTTCGTTTATCTAAAAGTACGTATAAGTTCATTTTATCGACAATGATTTTTTAGAGTACATATTTCAACAAATTCTTTCAAGCAGGAACAGCTTGTCTTTCAAAAAAGACAACTAAACCTGGGTAACCTAATTATTTACAGCACCTGCTACCTGTCAGTCATTGATGCATCCTATCCATGACCTTCGTTTTAACAGAACATCCAGTTTTGTAAGGTCTACTTCGTCCACACGCCTGTTAAAAAGGCATGTAGTGTGGTGTGTCTCAAGCCTTTTGCTTTCATGGATAATTATTTCCTTTTTCCATCTGGACCTTTCCCTTAACATTTAGTTCAACTTTCAGGTTTCACTCTTTTTTTTCTCTACATCAAAAAATCCTACTGCAGATTGTAGAAGTTATCATGTAGACAGATTGTCTTTTTCCATAAGACATATTAACAGATGAGATGAGCTCTACAAACAGCGTTAGCAGAAACTTTCATTCACTTGAAGTTGAGTTGTTGAAAAACGGAAGCGTTGTTTGGTGTTTAAAAAACAGAACAGATTACAGGCAAAGGTTTATAGGATGAGTTTTAGGAAAAATTGATGAAGCTTTAGATTTCATACAGTATTGCAAGATGTTACGCTCAGAGTATGATGTTGTAAATGACCATTTTTTTGTGTCTGTTTGCTGTGCTCGCTCCGGCCCGTGTGAATAATGTATGCTTGGCACAGTTCAGTTCATGAGGCTCGACCCAGATGAAGACGTTTCTGGGGTCAGAGGCTCTTCTGAGCTCCGGATCCAAGCAGATCCGCCGTACTGAGGTCTTTTTGTGATTTTGCTTTAATTTACGGTATGCAGATAATACAATGATTTATTTTACATTTCCGGGCTGATAAGACGAGACAAACGTGTTTTTGTTCATGACTGTCGCGATACAAGTTACTCACAAGTCCAGTGTTGTTATTCTTGTTTTTTTTTATTTGTGTTCAGTCAGTATCACTGAAGTGATTTTGAATTTTGTCTTTTTCACGTCAGTGTGCCAGCACAAGGTGCTATGCTGACTCGAAAGCATCCTCCTCTTGTAGCTCAATGATTTGTTCCATTTGTGAAATTTTCTTTGTTGAAGTGATCTCAAGTTTAAACTTCAGTCTGTTTCTTTCTCCCGGCTGTAGACGTCGTCTGTCTTGTGACGTTTGTGTGTCTTCTTGTATCCTTTCTTCTCTAGAAGCTGTGAGTGTCTTTGTCCCTCTCTCTAAAGTTTCACCAAGTGTCTCAGTTTGGGTTTCTGTCCCGATCTGCGTCTCAGCTTCTGTCTGAGTCTCGGCCTCGGAGCAAGCCCTGCCTCTTGCCTCCCCGTCGGCCCTCGCGTCTCCGTCTTCCTCCTCCGACACCAGGAGACACACCATGGGCTCCACCAGAGTCACCTCCCCTCCCGGGTTGCTGCTCAGGATGATGTCAGGATACAGGAAGTGTTCTGGTTGAAGGTTGGTCACGCCAGTGGAGACAGAGAACAGGTCGTCCTCCAAGCTGCACGTCAGGCTCAGGGAGTCACATTCGCTTTCCTCGCTGGACAGCAGAGGCGACTGCTCGAGCCCACACTGAGCCAGAGGATCCTGGTACTGAAAGTAGTTGGAGAGAGCGTGGCAGCACTGGAAGACGTTTCCCATGGTTCCTTTGGTGCACAACGCTGTTCAGAGAGAAGAGAAAACATCATGAAAGATTTTTTCAGCTCTCTTTCACAAATATTAAGCCCCAACAGATTGCACAAGGTCAAACTTTCCATCACTCATCTGAAGTCCGTTCAGTCTGTTAGCAAGATATCTCATGAATGAACAGATTTTTAAAGAAAATGTCACTTTGAAACTTAACTTTAAATTTTCTTAGCATAAAACTCTGACATGGAAGCCAGCGAGGGCCTTCAAGGACTGCTCAGGCTTGATTTATTCTTTACAATTTCATATTTTTACAGCCGTAAATGTTTGAGCACCATGTTAGGCATAACCTAGAAAATATAAATAAGAGAAACAGACAGATATTAAACACAAACACGAGCAAAACTTCAACAATGGGAGAATTTTGTTCAAGCTGACATGGTTTCTCTCTGTTTATGTGTTTATCCAGGAAGTTTTGTGTTACTTATTACAATTTCTGAGGTCTAAAATCTAGTCCAGATTGTGAGGCCGAAGACTGGGTTTTTCCTCAGGCTGCTTCAGCAGCAATCAAATTCAACTTTATGTGCGATGAAGACTTTGAAAAGGCRAGCATCGCAGCAGCCTTTTCAGTAGTTCAATTGATCTTTGTTGGTGTTGTTAAAGCAGCACACTCTCCTGCACCTCATCAAAACCCAAACAGCCGCAGAAAACATCACCAGAGACGAGAGAGACCAGAATAACGTCAGCTCCTCACTCACGTGTGTGTGAGAGCCACCATCCAGCGCAGAGAGAGGACATCTGTGTCAGCGCTTGTCATCTTCTCTGAGGTCCTCTGCTCTCCATCCTGCTCAGATCACAGAACAGAGGCTCCTCCCGGTGTCCGAAGCTCCTCAGTCCTCGCTGTAGAACCACGTTACATGGGCTGTGTGTCCCAGCGTGTGTGTCTGTCCTTCAGGAGAGGAGAGCAGAGGAGAGGAGGCAGCGATGAGAACTGAAGGCCCTCTCTCCACTCATGTAGTGCCCACCTAAGTCCAGAAGATGGCAACCTCTTAGCAGTTTTTATGATGTAATTTCCTGTATTCAAGATTGGCTTCTGCAGTTTTATACAGATGGTGAATGAATAACAGCCGCATAAAGCTCTTACTGCCATCTAGAGCTCTATGTGTGCCAGGTAGCCAGGTAGGTAGGTAGTCAGATAGGTAGGTAGGTAAGTAGTCAGGTAAGTAGGAGGGTAGAAAGTACAGGTTAGAAGTGAACCAACTTTATCTTAGTTAGCATTTTACTACTTTTCTTTTGGTTGGCCTGTTATTACTTTCATCTACTCTTTTGATTCTTTAGCTAGCCTTTTGCAACTTTTAGCAAACCTGCTTTTTGCTAGCCTTCTGTTACTTTGAGCTYTTAGTTAGCCTTTTGTAACTTTTAGCTAGACTTTTGCTACCATTAGCTTTAGGCCAACCCTTTGCTGCTTGCAGCTTGCCTTTTGTTTCTTGTAACTTTTGGTTAAATTTTGTTGCATCTAGTTAGTTACCCTCTATTTACTTTTAGCTATTAGCTACCCTTTTGCTTATAGTAGCTAGTTTTATTACTTTTAGCTTTTAGCTTTTGGCTGGAATTTTGTTACTTTTAGCTCATTTTAACTTTTGTTTCAGTTTATGCTGATTTTACCATTTAGCTCAGTGGTTCCCAAAGTTGGGGTCGGGGCCCACAGTGGGGTCCTGAAACAATTTTTWAAATTAATTACATGACAAACAACATTTTTTTCCTTTGGTGTTGCAAAATAATACGATTAGTGTACTTAAAATGGACAAAAATAACATAATAAATAATGTTATATGCTCTTGTTTATTTGATGTGAAAACAATGTTTATTTACGGATAACAGCTGGAGGCACAGGTCTATGCTGCTGGTAATTTTTGGGTCAAAAGCTGAAAATTTTGGGATCCACTGATTTAGCTACTGCTTTGCTGAWGATTTTTTCCCTACTAAAAGTTCAGTTAATTTTTCAACAAATTTCAGTAAAGTCTGCATTTTCACAAATAAAACTCTTCTCTACTTTGTTGAATTTACAAAAGGAGGCGCCTATTATTAATTTATAATTGTTTTATACAGAGATGTAAAGTAACAAAGCACAAATACTTTGTTACCGTACTTCAGTAGAAGTTTTGGTTATCTGTACTTTACTTGAGTAATTATTTTTCATCCATCCATTTTCTTCCACCTATCCGGGGTCGGGTCGCGGGGGCAGCAGCTTCAGAAGGGAGGCCCAGAC